CTTTTAAAACTCTTCTTATTCATGACTTGTATAACTTTAAAAAAAAAAAAAAAAAAAAAAAAAAAAGAAGAAAAGCTTGTAAAAGAATATTAACCGACATTTTAACCATCCAATTTTTAAATTAAATTTATATGGATCGTAAGCTTATATCTTTGAACTTTGAGAAATAAAATAAAAATGAACTTGAAAGGATTTAGATGGTATCGTATTAAATCTACTGACAAAAAATATATAAGAAAAAAAGTGTAAAATTAGTAGCCACCTTCTGAATAATTATTTAGCTTTGAAGATTTTCTTGTACATTTATTTATATTCCCTTCTCGTGCGCCTGAAGTTTCAACAGCTTTATGACATTTTTGAAAAACAAAAAATGAATTAAAGTACAAATGCTTTGAATAAAAATAACGCTGAATTTATGATATTGGATTTGGCAAATATTATTTCTCGAGATTTCATTTTCAACTTCAAAATCGACAGGCTGAAAAGCCTCTGTGTTGGCAGATTCATTGTATTTTTTGTTTCGTCTGCAAAATGGGACTGCGGTCAATAATGTCGCGTTCTTGGTTTTGGCCACTCGAAGGCTACGGCAATAATAATCGCTCGAATTCCACATTAAACTTTCGAATTTTGTCGCACAGTAAAAGAACATCGCGTACATTAAAATGCGCAATGCAATTAATTACTTTTATTACGATGGACGAGCAAAGCAAATGAAAAGAATATAGCGGAGAGAATCCGTACGAAAAAGGTTGTAAACGAACTTTTCACTTCATGAAATGTAATGCAATAATTTAAGAAGGAAAGGCCCCGAGTAGCGTGTGTAATTTTCGTCGCGATCGTGTAGATGTGCGCATAAAGTTGAAAAAGGAAACAAAAAGTTGAAGTGGTCGATAACGAAGGTGTTAAAGAGGGAGAGCAAAGAGAGAGGGAGAGAGAGAGAGAGAGAGAGAGAGAGCAGAGCAGAGCAGAGCAGTGCAGAGTATGGTAATAAGGGTGAGGGGAGGGGGGAGGTTGATGATGGGGGAGAAGGAGGCCGAAGAAAGAAAAGAGTGTAAAAAAGGAATGTCGATGGAGGAGCGAGCGACTTGGTCTTGGTAAAGCGGCAGGGACACGAGGTGAGGAGGGGATAGAGAGCCGACGAGTCTTGAAAGAAGATTGGAGAAGAAGAAAGGGCCTAATTCGGAGTGCTACCGGCTTACGCAAGGCCCCGGGACAGATAAAGTCTTGTCCCGGGGGGCCATAGCGGCAAAGGCGGCTTTTTAGGCTGTTTGTATTCGTGGCAGGCTGCTCGCGCACTTCTCGCTTTCTTTTCGTGCGCCTGAAGTTTCAACAGCTTTATGACATTTTTGAAAAACAAAAAATGAATTAAAGTACAAATGCTTTGAATAAAAATAACGCTGAATTTATGATATTGGATTTGGCAAATATTATTTCTCGAGATTTCATTTTCAACTTCAAAATCGACAGGCTGAAAAGCCTCTGTGTTGGCAGATTCATTGTATTTTTTGTTTCGTCTGCAAAATGGGACTGCGGTCAATAATGTCGCGTTCTTGGTTTTGGCCACTCGAAGGCTACGGCAATAATAATCGCTCGAATTCCACATTAAACTTTCGAATTTTGTCGCACAGTAAAAGAACATCGCGTACATTAAAATGCGCAATGCAATTAATTACTTTTATTACGATGGACGAGCAAAGCAAATGAAAAGAATATAGCGGAGAGAATCCGTACGAAAAAGGTTGTAAACGAACTTTTCACTTCATGAAATGTAATGCAATAATTTAAGAAGGAAAGGCCCCGAGTAGCGTGTGTAATTTTCGTCGCGATCGTGTAGATGTGCGCATAAAGTTGAAAAAGGAAACAAAAAGTTGAAGTGGTCGATAACGAAGGTGTTAAAGAGGGAGAGCAAAGAGAGAGGGAGAGAGAGAGAGAGAGAGAGAGAGAGCAGAGCAGAGCAGAGCAGTGCAGAGTATGGTAATAAGGGTGAGGGGAGGGGGGAGGTTGATGATGGGGGAGAAGGAGGCCGAAGAAAGAAAAGAGTGTAAAAAAGGAATGTCGATGGAGGAGCGAGCGACTTGGTCTTGGTAAAGCGGCAGGGACACGAGGTGAGGAGGGGATAGAGAGCCGACGAGTCTTGAAAGAAGATTGGAGAAGAAGAAAGGGCCTAATTCGGAGTGCTACCGGCTTACGCAAGGCCCCGGGACAGATAAAGTCTTGTCCCGGGGGGCCATAGCGGCAAAGGCGGCTTTTTAGGCTGTTTGTATTCGTGGCAGGCTGCTCGCGCACTTCTCGCTTTCTTTCCCTCCCTCTCATTCTCTCTCTCTCTCTCTCTCTCTCTCTCTCTCTCTCTCTGTCTGTCGGCCTTTCATTCACGAAATTCCGGTAGCTCACTCTGGCTCCTACGAATTATCTACCATCTTACGGATATTTATATATACTGGAGTTCGCTTGCCTACCCTACCCTTCCTTTCCTGCTATCATTCTCTCCCTCTCTCTCTCTCTCTCTCTCTCTCTCTCTCTCTTCCACTCTCTTTTTATCTGTCCTCCTTATTATGCCGTCTTCGCGCATATAATGAGCCGAAAACAATTTCCATTTTTACACAAAGTGGAAGGAAATATATTTTTGTTATATATGTAGCCATTAATTAGGTGGGGACTGCAACGGCAACGGTTCACGAAATTCACATTTTTCGATTTACCAAATGAAATCGCATTTCGTTCGTAGCGAATATACATTGTACACAACTCGGCATTTTTATTTGGTCGAGCAATTAGCCACACTTTATCGTTACATTATTAATATCAATATCTGCTTTTATTATAATGTAATTGTATAATATATAAACAATAGTATCAACATAAATTTATTTAATTTATTATTTCTTTAACGTCCAAATTAAAGACCAACTCATCACTTTTGATATGAATACTTAAATTTATTATTTACTATTTATTTTATTATATTGCGTGAAATAATTTTTACATTTATTACATAAAAATGTCATATAAATATTTTATTAAAAAATTCTGAAAATAACATGAATTATAAATAAATGTAGTTATATTTAATTTTGAAGAAAAAAAAGTTGTTTTTAATTATGATTTATTTATATTGCTACTTACAAATGTTTATGGAGCGAAATTATTCGAATGTGGCAATAAGAATTGTCGGAATGCTCATATATTTATACAAGCTAGATAGAATTTATTGGGGGGGGGGGGGGGAGCCATTATAAATATTTGCATTTCACGAAACGATAAATTTAAATTGATATTAATTAAACTAACAGCATAGATAGAATATCTAAATGATTTATAATGAATTTGAACATTTTATCCAAATTACTATATATTCGTTTACATGTTTATTTAATTAGAAAGTTTTATCATTATTGGAGAAAATAATTAAATTTAAATATTTTAATATCCTACAATTAAATATCTGTAATATCGACCACCAACGGCACCTTCCTTATCGACTGTAAACTTTAATCTCTCAATTACAAATTCGTAGCTCATTAGCATTGCTTTAAAATATCAGATAAACTATTATAATTATAAATTCTAATTGTTTTTATGGTGCTCAGTGACTGCGGATATATATATATATATATATATATATATATAGGTATTTTTAATTTTACGTAATTATACATTGTTAGACCGTAGAAAACCGTAAACTTGACATCGACGTACCTTGAATATAAATAATGGAATATTTTATGAATAATCGGACTGTTGGTTTAGTTAAGCAAATTGTTCAACATTCTTAAGAGGTTTCGTACTTTTCATTATTAATATATTATTTAATGCCAAGTAAACGTTCTCTTAACTTTAAATCAATATTTCTTTAATAAAAATATGCATTATTCATTTGGCACTTTTGACGAAGCTAATGTTAAATAATAAGAATAATGCGAAACATCGCCATTCTGTAATATTTGAAGACATTAATAATTGTCCAATGTGAATATAATCTTTCGATAATCTTAACTGTTCCAAATGATTTTCCCATTAATAATTTAATGAAATACCATTACAATTATTGATACCAGTCAAATAAAATTGACTTAAAAAATCAACGTCTTAATTATTTTCTAAAAATAAAACATATCTAGCATTAGACGTCTATAATAACAATAATAATAATAATAATAATAATAACAACAATAACAATAACAATAACAATAATATATAAATTATGTGCACAAAATAAAATATAGAATAGATTTTATAATCAAATGGCGTTTACAAAATTCTTGCATAGTATTTTAATTGAAGCCAGCCAAATATGGTAACAACCACTTAAATTAAATTTTTATTTAAATGTAGAATTTAATTTTAAACTTCAAACTTTCAAATCGCATACTGTGCGTCGGCGTGCGCACACGCATTTACAATATTAATTATACTTATAAGAATATTTAAATTATTTATGTTATATAAAACGAAGATACGAATCGTACAATTACCATGGAATAATAATCATTTCATATTTGTAAAATAATTTGAATTTACGAAGGAGCGCTAAAGCTGAAATAATCGAACGATAATTGTAAAATAAAATGTAATGGTATTAATTAAAAATTGTTGCTTTTGTAAGAAATATGTTTTAGCGAATAATCAAACGTATGAACGACAGTACGTCGACTATTTCTTACAACATTTATTTTCAATAAGTATTAAAGCATTTTTCGTTTTTTGCGTTGTTTCTTTGCTTGTTGTTTTACCGAACTTTTAATCTCACCGATAAATCATTTTATCAAGCACGAACGACTAAACAAATCAAAGTCTTCGTCTTCTTTAGACTTTTATAGTTTATTACCATAACAATATCGCTTGGAGTACGTAGAAGAAAAAAAACAGAAAAAACGAAAAGTAAAAACGAAAAAAAATAAAAATAAAAAAAATGCCGCTAGCCACGTGCCTCCCGGATAAGATCGAACGATGTATGTGTACTTGAAAAATTCTCACGCTCTCGTGTATGTGTGACATTTCAGGTCATCGAGCAGAATCCTTTCTGGGTGCCGTCGACGGAGGAGGAATATCTGCACTTCGGTGAGAAGGCAGATAGCGGAAATCGTGCCAAGAGGTACATCGACGCTGTGCGCCGTAGAAAGGGACTGCCAGTCGACTCGCAGCTCGTTACTCACGCTGAGAAACAGCGAACTTTATCGAAAAAGAAATAATGCACACTTCCGCGCAATTTTCACTTGCCCCTTATCGGTTTGCAAAATTTTCGCTCGATTTGGGCGCGGAGTGCAGGAATGG